TTTTTTTTTTTTTTTTTTTTTTTTGTTTTTTTTAGTCTGGTGAGTATCTTTTCACAGTCCGTCTAGGTGTTTCGCATGTAACGAAATCTGCTGCCACAGTAGATTGCGGTTGTGGTGGAGCCTCGACTGGGTTACTTGAAGTCGCGGCGGTATCGATTTCGACAGAGTGTTCCGTTACTCGGGAATGGTCCCCGGAGGATTCAATTACGTCGTGTAATCCAAACGCTTCTGCCAGTGAGAACTTGTGTTTCGGCTCCTCTGTATGAATCTCCTCAATGTAGCGTTTTCGGATTTGGTTTGCATGTGCACGGATTACTTTTCCGTTTTCCAATCTTACGTTGTACATAACCGCCCCAACTCTTTCAATGATTTGAGCCGGTCTCCAGTCAAACTTGTTATAAGAATGTACAACTAAATAAACGGTTTGCTGTGGTTCAAAAGCTGAGTATTTGGTGCCATGTTTTTGATTAAATTGTTTTTGCATGTTTTGTTTTTGCTGGTTGGTGTCTGATCCGGTTGGTTTAGGTTGGCTAGGCAATATCAAATTTAATGGTACTCGTATATTCCGTCCGAATAAGGCTTCTGCTGGTGATGTGTGTTTTGGTGTGTTTTTATTTGGAGTTGAGCGATAACATTGTAGAAATGATTGTAAATTTTGGACTGTAGTACCCTCTCCTTTTAGTTTCTTTAAGGCTCTTTTGAACGTATCCACAAATCGTTCAGCTTGACCGTTGGACATTGGGTAGTATGGACTGGAGCGTAGATGTTTAATTCCATTTTCTGTCAAGAATTTCTGAAATTGTGTGCTTACAAACTGGGTTCCGTTATCGGAAACGATGCATTTCGGTATGCCCAGTCTGCAAAAAACTTCATTTAACATTTCGATTGTTTTATTGCTTGAAATATTGGCTGTGGGGATTATCTCGGGCCACTTTGAATATGCGTCTACAATGATAAAAAAGTACGTATTGTCTAATGGGCCAGCGTAGTCAATGTGAAGTCGTTCCCAAGCTTCCGATGGAGTAGGCCATGGTTATAGATGTGTCTTTGTGGGTAACTTCGCTGCTGATGCACATCCGCTGCAGTTTCGCACAAGCGAATCAATATCAATATCGATGTTAGGCCAGTAAACAAAACTTCTTGCTATGGCTTTTGTACGTTCGACGCCGGGGTGTCCTTTGTGCAATTGTTTTAGAACCCTCTTGCGCAGTATTGTCGGTATTACGATGCGATTTCCGAACATGAGGCATCCGTCAACCACATGGAGATCATTTTTGCGATTTACAAATTGTCTTGCTTCATTTGAGCCTTCCAAATTATATGGCCATCTTTCATTTACGTATTGCATAATTGTTCTTAGCAATTTGTCTTTTTGTGATTCGTATTTAACCATTTTGTGTGTGACTGGTAATTTGGCGATTGAGTCTGTAAGTATTTGACGAATTTCAACTTCAAATTTAATAGAGGCTATTACGTAGTCTTCTGATGGATTTACGTTTTTGTCTATTAAACGCGATAGAACGTCTGCATGGCCAAAATTGTTCGTTGATACGTAGCTGATGTCGAAGTCGTAAGCTAATAATTTTATAGCCCAACGCTGCAATCGATTTGCTTGATGTACTGCGATGCCTTTCTTGTTGCCAAAAATCGCGAGTAAAGGTTTATGGTCCGTTTGTAGCTTAAATTTCCGGCCAAAAATCATTTTGTGGAATTTCGTGAGCGCGAAAACTATGGCCAGCCCCTCCTTTTCGATTTGGCTGTAAGCTTTTTCAGCCGCCGTGAGTGAGCGTGAAGCATGGCATATTGCTTTCATCGAACCGTCTGGGTACTCGTGCAAGATGCATGCACCGAGGCCGTAGTTTGAAGCGTCTGCCGCAACAACAATATCCAGTTTTGGATCGAAATGCGTCAGCAATAAATCTGAAGAGAGAATGTTTTTAAGTTGTTCGAAACATTTGCTTTGTTTCTGAGACCAGTGCCATTTGGTGTTGGATTTCAGTAATTCATCCAGTGGTCCTCTGTAAGTGCGTAAATTGTTGATGAATTTCCCATAAAAATTGATTGCTCCAAGAAATGATCGTAGTTCGGATACATCTTTTGGTTCGGGCATTTGCGTTATTGCTGCTATGCGCGTGCGATCTGGCTGTATGCCCTCTTCATTTATAATAAAGCCCAGATATTTTATTTGTTTTGAATAGAACGTGCATTTGTCAAATTTTAGTTTGAACCCGAACTCGTGTATGCGTTTTAATACGGCTTCTAATTTCTCGTCATGATCCTCTCGACTTTGGCCTGCTATGAATATGTCGTCTATGTATGCCGCTACTCCCGTGAGTCCGGACAACATTTTATTCATAATTTGCTGGAATATAGTGGGAAACGTTTTGACGCCGAAAATCATTCGGTTGTACCGAAAAAGACCCAAGTGGGTGTTTATGGTGAGCAGGTGTTTCGACTCGTCGTCCACTTCAACTTGCAGAAAAGCGTCTGAGAGGTCAATGTGGCTAAAAAATTTAGCCTTGGCCAGTCGCGCGAAGAGATCATCAGGTAATGGTAGAGGGTATTGATGCATTTCTAAAGCGTTGTTTAAGCCAGTTGAAAAGTCGCCACATATTCGCACGCCACCAGTTGCTTTCCTTGTCACCACAATTGGAGCAGCCCAGTCTGAAATGTTGACTGGAGTGATCACATTTATGTCCTGGAGACGCTGTAGTTCGGCTTCTACGAGTCCTTGTATGGCATAAGCGACTGGTCGCTTTTGACGAAAAATAGGTTGTTGATCCGGCTTGATCGTAAGATGCGCTTTTGCTTTGGTGCAAAGACCGAGTTCGTCATCAAAAACAGCTGGAAATGATTTTTTCAGCAGTGAAATGCTTTTATCAATTGAAATACTTGTACTTCCCTGATTTTTGTATGATCCTTTGTTGATTTTGTTGCAAATTGCATTGATTGGCTCATTATCGAGTTTCAATGCTGTAATCCAGTCTAACCCCATGACATTCAGATTTTGAATGGGTGTAACATAGCATGTTGCTGATGCTTGCTTACCCTTGAATTTAGCAGTGCATTCAAATTGTGCTGATAATGGGAGTTTGCCAGTTGCGCTACGAGCCGTGTTGCTGACTTTCGTCTTATTGCTCACGTTAAGCCGTCGGAAAATGTCTTCAGATATGATGGTAATATCTGAAGCTGTGTCGAATTGAAGATCGGTCGGGAAATCGTTTGTTTGCACGCGAATATATTTGCGATTTGCTACACAAATTTGGTTAGTGACGAATATGCTGTTGATTGTTGATCCTTCACCTTGGTTTCTGCGGTTTCTTTTTGTTGTCTTGTCCGTGCGTTTTAAGTGTAAGGGTGTTTGTTTTTGATTTTTGTAAGATTTTCCGGAATCACAATACCCTTCTTTGTGCCCCACACGGTTGCAGTGCTTGCATTTGTGCTTACTGAATGGACATTCGGATGTATAATGCATACCGCCGCAAAACCAACACGGTGTTTTTGGAAATCGCTTGTTGTGGTTCTTCGCCTGCACCTTGTTGACTGTGCGAGTCTCATTTTTGTTTTCGATTAATGCTGTGTCTGCCTTTAGATTTATTAACCGCTTACACTCTGCTGACAACTTGTCAAGTGTAAGAGTTTCTTCGCCGCTGTCTAGTCTTGCCAGTAATTTGGTTCTAACCTCAAAATCCGCTGGAGACTTTAACCCCATGATGAAAATTAAACACTTGAATTGATCTAGTGTTAGTTTATGATGTTGAAATTTTTCACATTCTTTATTGACGTTGCCTGCGTACGTTAAAAAATCTGTGGTAGCATCTTTGGTTATCTGTAGGCAGTGATAGCGCATGTTAAAAAGAGACTTCTGCGAACCAAAAAGTTTTGTCAGCTTTTCGACTGTTTCTTTGAAGGTGTGGTCTCGTGGATGTTTTGGCAAAATGGAATTTACATACTTGGTATGCTCTAGGACGCTAAGCTTGCGCAAGAGTAGGCGGACTTTGGCTGCGTCGTCAAGATTTGCTGCGTCGACTTCAAACAAATCTTCGTATCGTGCATACCACATGTCAAAAGTGAGGCTATCTTCAGCGCTAAACGAGAACTCTTGAATACTTGTTGACAAAGCCTCTATACGGAATTCTGTCGAGTTTTCAGCTTGTCTCGTGTTGCCTGATGGCTGTTTAGCCTCCAGAAGTTGCTTCACCAGTTCTTACATGGCGGCACTGTCTTTTTCCCGCTGCTGTTGCATTGGTTGGAAGAACGCCTTCATTTCAGCATCCATAATTTAGGTTACTTGTATTATTGCAAAAGACTTGTTTCTACTTTTTTTTTTTTTTGCAAACTAAGTTATTTTCCACTTATTTAGGATACCTTGATCCTCGTCGCCATTGATACGCTTCTTTAAAGTTAGTATAATCCTTTATTTAAACTATAAAATATACAAAAAGGAAAAGAACGATTCTAGAAAGAAGCTGTCTTCTCGACACGTGTGCAACAAGTGTTGCTCTTGATATTTTTGACAGTCATATCCATATGTCATATAATAGATGTAAATGTATGTATGTATAATTGTACGTGATCAGGGTTGTCTTTTCATCCAACACTTGTTCTTCGGAGCTACTCTTTGACTCTTCTTCGTCATCGCTTAGTGACTGAAAACCGTCCTCTTCAACGATCTTTGTATCGAGGTCGTCTTCACGTTCATCTTTTTGCATGCGTTCTTCGTCAATGTCCTTAATTTGAGGCTCGACTTCACTTTCGTCTCCTTGCTTGTGATCTTTTTCAATATCCCTAAACGGAAGCTTAGCTTGATACTCACATTCTGTTTGTCTTTCATCGAATTGCACATCTCTGGACAGGATAACTTTGTTGTTGCTCGGAATGTATATCCGGTACCGCTCATCTCCATCATACCCTACAAGTAAACCTTTTTCTGCCTTCTTATCAATTTTCTTTCGTTTTGCAGCTGGTACGTGGACATAGCAAGTAGACCCAATGATACGTAAATGTTTGATTCTAGGTTTCTTTTTGACCCACAACTCGAAGGGACTTGCGCCATCTTCAGAAGACTTTCCGGTTCTGTTTAGAATGTAAATTGCTGACATCACTAGCTCAGCCCATATTTCATCTGGAAATTTATTTTCACAATTCGAATATTTAAAGGTCCTTGCCATCTCGACAATTGTCCTATTTTCACGTTCGCTACCGCCATTTTGTTGGGGCGTATATGGGGCAGTTAATCTCTGTACTATTCCGTTTTGTGCCAAAAGGCGTTTTACTTCTTTGGAATCAAACTCTCCCCCATTGTCACTAAGTAGCTCTTTAATCTTGTGTCCAAGCGTTTTCGTATGTGCTATAACCTGCTTCAAAACTGTTATCACCTCGGATTTATGTTTAATTACAAAACCATAACGAAATTTTGTATAACTGTCTTTGAACACAACCAGAAATCGTTTCTTGCTAAACGATTCACAGAATGGACCTACAACATCAGCGGAGAAAAGTTCGCCTGCTTTAGTAACCTTCGCTCTAGTACCAAAGGGTAGACGATGCGCTTTTCCATAAATACAGGGCTCGCATACTTCTTGTTGCAACTTAACTGTGATACCCAATTCTCTTTTGAGCATGTCTCGTACGTGTCGCTTGTCTTGGTGACCCCACCTCTCGTGATATAGCTGCAATATTGATGTCTCTGCTTCAGCAATAGTAACCCTCTCGACGTTTTCAACATTTAATGGTTCGATAGCTGCCTTGTACAGAGACCCGCCTCTCTCACGATTTCCGCACAGCACTGTTTTACCATTTATCTCCAACCAGCATTTAGTTGAAGTTGAGTGGAACCTTATATTTCCATTTCTGTCTTGGGCTGCTAAAACTGAAAAAAGATTTTTAGAAATTTTCGGAACATACCAGACGTTGGTCAGAGTCATCTCCATAGTTCCATTCTCAGTGAACGATGAAATACGTATAACTCCTTGTCCAACGGCTTCAAGGGATTCTTTTACTGCGGCTATGATTACACGTGGACTGCGAAACTTTTGAAACTCTACAAACTGGTCCGGGCTGTTCGTCACATGCTTTGTAGCACCATTGTCGATCCACCACCCTGATGAACATGACTCAACTTCATTGATTGCACACAGGGCTACATTCGTAACTACGACGTTGCTCTGAGCGTCGCTCTTTGGTGGTCGGCCATCAGCAATCCACTTTTTGCATGTGGTTACCCAATGCCCCTTCTTCTTGCAATAGTTACAAATATCGTTGTCTTTTGACCTTTGAAATGATATACGTGGTTTGGGTTTTCCGCTTTTCACAGCAAGTGCTTCTCCAGTAGTGGCATCAGCTGTCTTTCTAAAGTTTCTTTCATACATACACAACTGTGTGATCAATTCTTCGAACGTTCTTTCTTCATCTTTCGACAATAGCATCCAACTGGATCTGATATTCTCGAATTCACTAGGCAAAATTTGTAAAACTTTACAAACAAGAATAAGGCCAGGAAGTTCATTTTCGTTCTTTGATTTCAAGCCATTATTTAGCTCGTTCCATAGATTTCTTAACTTTGCAACGTGTGTCGAAACGTCTTCGCCATTACGCCAATCAAATGCAAAAAACTCTGTACATATTTTAAACAATTGATCTTTTGACGATGCTTCAAAATTCAATTTAAGAGCCAGCCACGTTTCATGCGCAGATTCTTTATCCATTATTTTCTGATACACTACGTCTGCTACTGAGCTTGAAATCATGGACTTTGCATAACTTTTTGCCTTGCGATATCGATCTCCCGCTTCTTTGTTCTTTTTCTTTTCTGCTTCTGATGCAGTTCCTGCTACTGGTTCAGGTTTGACTAGTCTGCCGTCAATTGCATCTAGAGCACCTTCATGGTAATCCAGCAGGTCTCTAATTTTTCTTTTCCAAATCGGCCAGTCTGCTTCGCCAGTCAGAGGTTTAATATGTTTTGCCAAATCCATATCGAACAAAAAGAACAAACTGCTACGAGAAACTTCTAATTTACGTAAATGCACTTTTCTTGCTTCTATAACATGCGTTCACTGCGCCCATAACCTGTTAAAGTATTTGTTTCTTTATACAAAGTTTTATATATATATCTATATTAATGATTCAGCAAAATATAAAAGGAAAATCTGATAAGCACACTGGCTGTCAAAAACAAGAAATGCAAAAAAAAAAATAAAGGATAAAGGCAAAAGCAAATACATTATAGCGCCATCTATTTGACAATTGATGTGAAGGGAAATTTAACTTAGGCTAACATTACATACTTCAACAGGAACAACGTCGGAAGAATACTGGACAGCAGCACAAGCGAAGAGGACGAACGACAATAGCCCAACTTCGCTCTGGCTACTGCAGCAGGTTTAACTCCTACCTGAGTAGATTGAATGAGGATGTACCAAATGACTCGAAACATCTCTTAGCATGCCCGGAAAACCCGACAACCCTAACGGCTTTGTCCCTGTGGACTAACGCAACAGAATCTGCACGCTTCCTAGGGCTGCCGTTAGTGGAGCTCGACGACAACGATTGAGATACCAACCGTCCTGGGCGGGGTTGTTGTAGCCGCTACAACAACAACAACAACAACAAGAGGACTCTAGATAAGCAGGGTGTATACAAATTAACGTGTGAATGCAAGTGTGGCTACGTAGGACAAACTGGCCGTAAGATTAAAACAAGTTTCCGCGAACATATAAGAGACTACAATAAGGGGACACAAAAACCAAGCTTCACACCAGAATCAACCTTCGCATATCATATGTTCGAAAATAAATGAACACCAATGAAAATTAGTAAGGCAGCTAAACTCCTCCACGTACAGCATAAAGGACGGCGTTTGAATACATTGGAGAAAATGGAGATATACAAGCAGAAAACATTTCAAGGGAGAATTATAAACTAACAAAAACACCGTATTCGATGTAATATTCGAACCACTCAAGATGTTGTACTGAAAACATGAGATTACCCCTGAAAAAAACGCCAACGCGAAGATACAGACCCACGCCGCAGAAACCAAGAAAATGAAAATAACGGATTTCTATCTGCCGGCACATACAAGCAACCTAAAACCTACTACGTGCGAAATAACTAAACATAAACTGACGCAATCACGAAAATCAAGAAATTAAAAATAACGGCTTTCTACCCGCCGGCGAATACAAGCAACCAAAAAGCTCCTACCTGCGAGATAATGAAACAAAACGTACTTAGATGGGTATGCATGACCTAATGGCAGTTAAAACAGATAGTAACACGAATACATAAAAGCAGAAGGAAACACGAACTATTTCAGAACGAAAAATGACACTAAAGATGGCACAACGCCGAAACCGGTTTGTGTCCAAACCAAATTTGACAAGGGCTGACAAAAATCGTTCCACAATACATCGTACTAAAAAAATCTCTTAACTTCTCGAAAAAATCCCGAACCAGAGAAAATCTCGAATAATCCAGAAAAAACCCCAAAGATCCCGAAAACTAAACAAAGAACTCGAAAAACAAAACATACGACCCAAAAAATTAAACTAGAATTAAACTAGGAGCAAAACTCACCAGAGGTTTCAGGTATGGAGTGCTTTATAGGTTTCCAGAATGTTGCTGACAACCTTAACAAGAACTTGATGTGGAGTGCTCTCTAAGGTGCCGAGGGTGGCGAAAAATTCGCAGAAATCCTGAAAAATTTCAAAGAATCCGGAACAAACCCGAAAAATAATCAACGTGTGAAAATCTCGAAATGTCTCGAAAAAATCCCGCTTATTCACAAGCAAGTTGCGGTTGAGTGCGAACGTGTTCTTTATTCGCTCCATAAAAAATCATATCGTTTAACTAAAAATATTTAACCATCGAAAGACACACTAAACCATTATTCGAGTTTTGTATCGTCGCGAACTGCCCTCAGCAGTATAAAACTCAAAGTGTGATCGCGAAAAATACCTAAATAATAAGACATTGTATCAAAATAAATAAATTATTGTTTACATACAAAATACGAACGGTAGTTAAGTGAGAGATGAGTGTCCAGGGCGCTCTCCTACAAGCGCAACCCAAAGCGCAAGCAAAAGAGATGCATATTTGACAATTACTGCATGCAGCCCAAAGAGCAAAACCAGCAAGAACAACAACGCTAAAGAACTCTTAGGGCCAGGTTTTCAGTGCGTCTGTTTGTCGTTTAAACTAAGTTTAAATTCAGTGTGCCGTTTTTCAGTCAAATTTAAACCGAGTTTAAACTAAGTTTAAAAGCCCAATCTGGCTGGGTAAAACCGAGTTTAAACTTTCAGCTGTTAAGTTTTATATTTGTTGTCAGCTGCCAAAATGTGGATGAAAAAGGTTGAAAATGTAAGGAGAACATATGTATACTTTGCTAAGAAAATGTCATGCAAGATCTATCCAGCCATATATTGTACTTTTATACATGTTATATTAAGATCAATGGCAACTCTGGTTTGAAGGATGTTCAGTCTTGTAATACAACGCTGTAAATACTTCCGGCCATTACAATTTGATAAAGCCGATAGCCAACACGTAGTGACAGAAATAAAATCAAACATTTTCTAAGTAATCTAAACCCTAGAAGTTATCATCTCAGGTGTGGACTGCGACAAAATTAAAATGCCACGCACCACTAAAGAACAAGTCCCACCTACTGCCACATTGTGGGGTCATCGCAAAAAGGCGCGGTCGCCCAATGTTCCGTGCGTGCAAGTCAGGAAGACGTTTCGAACCTTGGTGAAGGTGTTACCGCGAATGCCGCAATCGCCGATTTAAGTGGAAATAGCGCCGAGAATACTGCTACACGCGCAGAAAACCTTGCCGTTGGTACGCAGGCTGCCGATTTAA